CAATACATTACCTTTCAACAAGCCATAGGACCATCAAATTCCATTACCGAAGGGAACTCAACCTATAAGCAAATGATCATACGGATATTCAAGATTACGAAGGATCTTATGGAAAAACTAATGATGAAAATGCTTACTACGGGGATTATCCAAGTAGAGTATGAGCCTTTTTACTTCTCCTATTGGTTAAGAAAAAGATGGATCGAGGCGATTATGTGTTGATTATAGGGCTTTGAACAATAGCATGATCAAGAATAAATTTCTCATTCCCCTATTGATGAACTATTAGAAGAGCTACATGGGGCCATCATTTACTCCGAATTGGATTTACGTGTAAGGTATCATAAAATTCGTATATTTTCCTCGTATATTCTCAAAATAGCATTTAAAACTTATCATGGTTATTATAAGTTCTTAGTCATGCCTTTGGGCCTCACTAATTCCCTTGTCACCTTTCAAGGTTTAATGAATAAAGTCTTTTAAGACTAATTATAGAAGTTTGTGCTGGTATTTTTTGATGACATACTCATTCATAGTCGAAACTTAAAAGACCATCTTGACTACCTTTGAATATTGATGACCCTCTTGAAAACCCACTAGTTATATGCAAAATTTAGTAATTTTGTTTTAGGGGCTAATAAGGTTGAGTATTTGGGACATTTTATCTTGGTCCAAAGAGTATCTACTAATCCAAAGAAAATCCAAACGGTGGTGGATTGACCAATTCCTAAGAAGTTAAAGCAATTACGAGGGTTTTGGGCTAGGATGCTATTATGGTAGGTTTATCAATGGATATGAACTCATTATGAAACCATTAACGACTTTATCGAAGAAAAATATCTTCTATCGGATCGAGGAGTCTACTACCGCCTCTAACAACCTCAAGGAGTTTACTCTAGAGACTAGTGCTTCTAGCATTGGAATTGGTGTAGTTTTGATACGGTAAGCGCACCCAATTGCCTTCCTCAATAAGGCCTTATCACTTAGGCATCAATCTCTATCAGCATATGATAGAAAATTAATAGGATTCATAAAAGCTATAAAACAATAAAGGCATTATTTAGATTCATGGAATTTCAAGATCAAAACAAACCATCACAACCTCAAATATCTCTTGGACTAGAAACTTACTAGATCCAATCAACACATATGGTTAACCAAGTTGTTAGGTTTTGATTATGAGATCCTATACAAGAAGAAAAAAGAGAACATGGCTACTAATGCACTCTCTAGACTACCTAGCTATAAGATTCACTTTATAGCTATTTTCACTTTGTCTTTAGACTTACTCAAAAAAAAAAAAAACTCGTGGGTAACCGATCCTTCCATTCAAAAACTTCGTCTCAAATGACTAGTGACTCAGCAACCTATCCTCTTTATAAAGGGCATGGTGAACTACCGATAATAAAGGGTAAACTAGTTACGAGCAATGATAGTAAAGGAAGAAGACAGATTATAAGCTTGTTCCATGATTTTGCATTGGGAGGGCACTCAAGTATGGCAACCACTCTTAAGAAGTTAGGTGGTGTCTTCTACTGGAAAGGTCTACAAGGGAATGTGAGGCGAGTACATTAGAGAATGTCTCATCCGCCAAACCTATAAGCCGAGTTAGTGGCTAGTTTGGTAATACTCCAATCTCTACCCATATCATAGGGAGTATTCACCGATATCTCCATGGACTTCATTGAAGGACTTCCTAAGTCCAAGAAAAAGAAAACATATTCATGATAGTAGATCGACTCACCAAGTATGCTCATTTCATAAGCCTCTTTCACCTATACGTAACCCAAGTAGTAGCTCGGTTGTTTCTAAATACCGTATTCAAGGTATATGGGTTACCATCCATAATTATTAGTGATAAGAATATAATATTTTTTAGCATCTTTTGGAAGAAGTTATTTTTCTTTTTCTTTTTTTACAATAGAGGATCAATACTATTTCACTACTTACCATCCTTAATCGGATGGTCGAGAGAAATGGTGAACCATTGCTCGGAGATTTATGTTTGTTTTATGGGAGGAAACATTCCATCGAATGGTCTAAATAGCTTTCTCTTGCCAAATGATGGTATAACACAAAATTTCATTCTTCTACCAAATTGACACCATTTGAAGCACTCTATGGGTAACCATCCCTAATAAATATACCTTACATGGCCAAGGATCCCATATGAAAGCTCGTAAACCAATACCTTAGTACTAGGGAAGCTCTACTAGCTCATCTCAAACATAACCTTGCTCGTGTACAAAATCGTTTACAACAACTATCAAATAAACACAAAGCGAGAATGTCAATTTGCAATTAGCAACCGGGTTTATCTAAAGTTATAGCCCAACAAACAATGCTTAATGGCCAAGTACAATTTTCATAAATTAACCGTCCATTACCATGGTCCATATATGGTTAAAAACAGAGTGGGCTTAGTAGTTTATCGATTAAACCTTCTTGAAGCGACTTCAATTCACCATGTTGTCTATGTTTCTCTTCTCAGAAGGCTTTTGAGACTCATACAACACAAAAGGAGTTGGCTACCTTTCCTTCTAACTCTTTACCTTACCCACTAGCCATCATTGATAAGTATATTACAAAGAAACAAAATAGGGTGATAGTACAATAGTTGATGTAAGGAAATTGTAATAGAATACAAAAAATAAGAAAGTATATTGAGATTGTCTTTTTCTTCGTCATCTCTCTCTCTCTCTCTATCTATCTATCTATCTCTTCCGTATCTTTACTTCTATCTTAGACACCAAGAAACATAACTACACTATCAGTTTATCAAGAATACAATTCACTAATTCAACATATAATCATCTTAAGTCTTATGATGAGTTAAAGTTACACTTACTTTAAGTTTGTTTAAAGATGAAATCACCATAAAACACCCAAAAATCATTTATCTCCTCTTTACCCAATGTTTCAAGCAAAACAGTCCCTTTTCTCCTCTTTCTTCTTCTCAATAATTTCATCATCATTTCGACCAAGTTTGCTTCCTTTTGGCAATTTCAGCTCCTCCTCTTAGTAAATTCCAAGTCTTTCTTACTTTCCCTCTTGTGATTTAGTCTCTCTTACTCTCTTGCTCTCGTAGAGTTCAAGCCCTCTCAAAATAGATGGACGGAGACAAATGAAAATATCAAACGAACCAAGCCAAAACTTTCCCATTTATTTCCCTCCCGGTTGAATTTTTTACCCAAAATGCCCTTAATGAGCTACATGTCCTAAAATAGTATTTTACACTTAAACATTTTAATTTAGGTGAGACACCTAATTAGAATATTATTTCCTAAATTAATACATATTTAGGTCACTAATTAAATTTTAAATCCTAAGTTATACATCTATGAAATCATTTAATTAAACTATATTTACTAAATCTTTTACTTGTCAATTACTTCACTATTCACACATAACACTTAACATATATTTAATTTTACAAATAAAACATGTATCATCAATAACACAAACATGTATGAAATCATTTAATAAAACTATATTTACTAAGTCTTTCATTTGTCAATTACTTAGGGATGGCAATGGGGCGGGGTGGAGGCGGGGATCGTCATCCCCGTCCCCGCCCATCTACTAAAAAGTTTCTCCATCCCGCCCCGTGCCCCAAACGGGATAAAATTTTTCATACTATCCCCGCCTCGAAAGGGGATGAGGATTCTGCGGGGCAAACGGGGCATAAATAGGACAAAAATTATTAGTTGTTTTTTTTATTTGCATCTCATCTTATCCCATTTCACTATCAAATTTCAAACTATAGCAAAAAAAATATATATTTTATATAAAAATAAACTTTAAAAATCACTAATCATAGATTTTATATGGAGTATAATTATAATTTTAATGAAAAAAAAAAAAACGAGGCAAACCAAGCAAACGGGGCAGGACAAGCAAATCCCACCCCCACCTCATTCCCCAATCAACACAGGGAATCCCCGCATTAACCGGGGAAAATCCGAGCGAGATGGGGCGGGGCTCAATCGGAATGGGATAAATTGTCATCCCTACAATTACTTCACTATTTATACATAATACTTAATAAATATTTAATTTTACAATAAAATATGTACCATAAATAACATAAGCATGGCATGAACATGATAACAAACACAGTATAAAAATTAAATCCGGCTATCATAAACAGCCACTAGTCCTGCATTTTCCACCGTCCATGCAATTTGTCACCTTTTCATCCACTCGTGGCCCTAGCCAGAGAGAACCCGATGCTTGCTTCCAGGCCATGGGCTCCGCACACGTGACAACCATTAAGAACTTCAATTAAGATCATAAAACAAAAAAAATAATAACGAAGTTCCGAAACATTACCATGGGAACGATGGCCAGATTTACCGCAACAAGGGATCCATTCCACCACCATTACGTACAATTCTTACTTATTATGCAAGACTACGTTGTTAGAGGACTGCAATGAGAAGTTGATCTGCAGGAAGGGAAATACAGTCGAGCAAAAGATGCCAATAACAATCCTATTTCCCAAAGTGCTGATTTGATCCAATATATTTAGTTTTTGATTATTAACACAAAAATACAATGCCATAGACATAAACCTCAAATCCACAACCCACTTGTGCAGGTTGATACTCCAAAGTCCGAATGATGTAAAGAGAAAAAACCCCTTAATCAAGATCCACCAAACCCATAAACCTTCGGATGAACCAAAAGGAAATGAAATCAGTTACGCTACACACAAACAAACGAACATATAAACTATGGGAAACCAAAACTATGGCTCAACTGTAGCACCGAGTATGTACCTACTGACCGCAATAAATGGGGATAATTACAATTTATGAAGGATGGTCGAGATAATTACAATTTATGAAGTATGGTCGAGACTCCTACATGACAGTTCGTAGAACAGGTATGTATCTCGGTTAGTACACCATAGAAACACCAGTAACGAGGAATCTTATCATATGCTATACGGCTTGATGAGTACACCACCACAAAGACCAAATGGATCCAGCTGAGATTCAGGCACAACCAAAACATTTACTTAAGGAGAAGAAACTTGATGGTTCAGGTGACGGCTCAGGCTCAGGCTTTCTTCGAGGGAGATGCTTGAAAAATGCTTTCACTGCTCCAGCAACACCATCCTCATTCTCCATGGCCTTGGCAAGCTCCACCGCCCGCTCCTTGACCTAACATGTTAGGTTCATCAGTTAAATTCCAATCCAAGAATCCGTTGCAAATATATAGTAGTTTCTTTTAGTTCCAAATGATAGTGATTCTACTTTCACGTGACTAGGAATCAATGTGGAGGCAAGTTCAACATTTTTTGAAAGCTTACTGTTTGCTTTTAACCTCAAAAGAACTATAAATGTTGCTAAACTCACTGGTTCTCTCTCCTAATAAGTAAATATTGAATCTTGCTCCTTGATGCCAGCTGCCATAAACTGTACCTTTTGGCCAAAACTAGAAAGTTCACTGCTGGTTTCTGTTTTTAATAATTTATAACAATGAACTGCTGAGTTTTAATTCCAGGTCAGAGGATCTAAAAGAATACTCCTATATAGTCTAGCTGACTCCTCCGAGATTGCCCAGGTTCAAACTCTCTTAATGCCCTTCATATAGGATGAAATGAACTTGAGCCTATCAAAAGAAGTTCCTTGGATGAGTAAACAAATATTAGAGAGGTCCGCACTAGCATTTATGCCAAAATGAACCTGAGACTAACATTTATCGAACTTTTCGCAAGATTATAAATTCTGCTTGACCAGGAAGGAAAAGAGTAGACTGTGCAAGTGGATTGAAGATTTTGACTTTTTTATTCTTTGGTGTCCTCAGCTAATATATATATCCAGTGAGTTGACATTACCTTGGGTTTTAGCATGAAATTTATTGCATCAACCAACTTTGTAAGTGAGAACTCATCAACAGGTATGGGTGGAGGACCTACTCCTCTTGCATGCACCCGATCACCCCAGAAAGGTTGGTCACCAAAGAAAGGCACAATGGTTGTAGGGCACTACATCAAAAAAGCAGCAGGATAAAGGCAAAAAAAAAAAAAAAAAAAAAAAAAAAAAAAAAAAAAGAGAAAGGACATGACACAGAAATCTATAGTACAAACAAGCTCCAGCTATTACCGCAGCTTTAAGACCAGCAGCTGTCGTTCCAGCACCTCCATGATGAACCTGACAGCAAAGTGCAAACTAATAACAACGGGACAGAAAGATTGTAAAGAAGACACAAAAAATTGAAGAATAAATAATAATCAATGTCATCGTCAATTAGTCGAACCTTAAAACTTCCAAATCTTTCACATTTTAAGGATTTTGATCAAGTGACACTTGTTTCTCAAGCACTGTATCCAAATGAAAAAACTATAAAAGTAAGGCTTACCACTGCCTTGCATTGCAAGAATAGCCAATCATGTGGGCAGTTATCCAGTAAGTATATAAAGTCCTTCGGTTCTGACACTGAGAGGAACCAAAATTAAGCTAAATAGAGAGCATACAAAACCCTAAAGATGCATATACTGTGCACACAGACAATACAAGAGGGAAAGGAAACAGCAAGAGTTGGTAGTAAAAATATAAAAGTCCAAAGGGGAACCAGAACCATACAGTTACCCAGGCCACCCCAGCCTTTATTAATGATGCCCCTCTGCCCAGTTTGTTCCAATGCTCCAACAATTGTTTGGGTCATTTTTTCTGGTTCTTGGACAGGCTGACATATGAATAAGGAGAATGTAAGGACAAACATCTAAAAAACATAGAGAGAGAAAACTAAGAGAATAAATTAAGAATATGGAGCAAAAAGAGAAGGAAAAAAAAAGCATGTATGATAGCAACCAGTGTAATACAGTTACAGATTCAACCTTCTTGGTGTCTATTCAATACTCAAATACTGGGCACTGACACTTTGATGTGGACCAAATTCGCAATTATGATTTACATCTCAAGTCACACACTAATCCACACACAGTGAAGACCTCAGCAAGCTAGCAAATCATTACATATAAGATCATTTATAGTAGTCCTTCAGAGGTAACAACAGATTTCAAGTCCTATGACAAAATAGGGACTCTCATCGCACGAGACACCCAACAGATTACAGCAAATGGCACTGTCTGATCACAAAAAGGTTTCTCCATGGTGATTCTTTATTGAACTCAAGTTGCTTAAACTTCAAGATTCACGTCAAACAAACCAAACACGAACAAATAAGTATCATATTAGCCACAAACACATGGGTACTCTTTTCTGTTCAAGAATCTCTATCATAGCAGTGTCAGAACAACATAAAAGGAAAATGTAACAATTATATTATAGATTCCATGATGCCCATGTCAGAACATACATTTAAAAATCTAGTGAGTTTGAATAGATTGCAGACCTTGCATTTCCTTTAAACAACAAAAACAATCAAAGGACGAACTAGGAAGTGAACTCACAAGGCTACCAAATCCAATATAAATAGGTTTCTGACCAGCCTCAAGCCATTTCAAAAGTGATTCAGGAGGTTCATAATTTGATGCTAGGTCGAGAAAGCAGAAGCCAACTACATCAATTTTAGGCCCCCAATCTGCAAACAAAGAAAAAGAAAATGCAAACTAGAAATTAGCATCCCAATGAAAGTCATTCAAGAAAACGCAAACTGGAAATTAGCATCCCATTGAAAGTCATTCTTTCGTCTAAAACTATAACCCAGGTTGTGTAATATTCATAAAGACATACAAGTAGACATGGTAGAGAACAGGTTAAAGCCTACAATAGGGATAAGAGAACAATATTCAAGCCATAAGCCATAATTTGGTGGGATAAAGGACAGGAAGACTCCTTGTCGGATTTGGTTTAACATTTAAAAGCTGTTTAGTTCCAGCAGAGCTGCACCAGAGTTATGCGATCTGGAATTTTGATAGGAGCCTATTATTTTATTTTGCTATTTAAAAGCTTTATTTAGTCTTTAAATAAGTTGACTTGTTTACGTTTCTTATATATGAATCCTTATGTTTTTCCTGATAGGAATCCAACTCCCATTACGATTAGGATTTAGGAGTCATCCAAGTATTATAAATATGCTTGGAGTATATTGATTTCTTGAAAAATATATATATATATATATATATCTATTGAATAAATTGCAGCTTTTGCTAGATTATGTAGAGTACGAGGCTTTCAATCTAGGAGTGAGTTCTGAACCTTTTAGTGTGAAGGTAGAAATATATTTCTGTTTTTCGACATTTTTTTTACTTTCCATTCTGTTTTTCAATTCGTAAAGCCCTAAAACTTCATATTCTACAACCTAACCTAATGAACAGCCAGCTACGAACATTCCCCTAGAGTTGTCCTGCATCAAGACAAGCACCCAATATGAAGAGGATAACGTTACATATGTTAGCTATAACTACTTAGTATGATGGAAGATTAGCACAAGCAGGTAAAGTAAACTATAATACAAAAGTTCGACATTCTCACAGTACGCAGCACCTTTTGGTTTAGGGACAAGGTGGGGACTCCATATGTATCCATGTGGCACATCGGAATCGGATCCCTGTGAACCACTGAGATACGTGACAGGTCGTAGCTTCAACTTTTTTTTCTAACATCATTTATCATGTCCCGTATTCCAAGCCAAATCAACGAATCCACTATTTGATATGAGAGCTACAGAAATAGCACATGGAAAAAAAGTAAATCAGAAACAACCAAGATATTTTAAGGAAATCGAAGCTACAAGGAAAACTAAAAGGGAAAAAAAAAATCCAATGGGCTCACTCGATATCCAGCCGGTTGCTTGACACGGGACAAGGGATGTGGAAATTCACTAGTTGGTCTGGAAAGAAGATAAAAATTGCTTAAAACAGTTTAGGACTTGCTGATTAAATTATGCATGTAACTCAACACTGACAAAAACAGGAAGAAAACGAAAGTCTGTCAAACAGTAACAATGTTCAAGCTACATTCTACTCAGCAAGATTTCATTGCCCAGGGAAGACTTACGTCCATGGCATGGTGAAAAATATATGAAGCGGAACTTTTAGTGCCTCTGCAACATGAGTATGCCCTAAAGAAAACATTACAACAGTAAGCTGTAGAGTATTGAACATGAAAATATAAATACAGGTTGAACATCTCTATGTAAGAACTAAACAGAAACGTGCATATACAAAAAGGAAAGTACACATGGCACAAGCTGCGTAATTCGGTGAGAGCACACACACACACAAAAGAGAGAGAAACATAGCAGGAGAAGAGAAAATGATGCAAAACGGCAAAGAACAGTATTATAATGGCTACAACTTGAAGAAAATTGAGGGAGAGGATGCAAATCCAAGGAATTTACAAAAAATTACTGGAGGAGGAACAAGAGCTAGAGAATTCCCCTTTCTTTAAAACAAAATTGAGCGAATGGAGAGAAATATAAGAATCATTTCACAAACAAACAAAAGAATCCCATTCCTCAACCCCACTTTGAAATAAAAGGGAGAACAAAACCAGATGAGGGAGTTAACAAACAATGCATCAATACCTTGATCTTCGTATATTAGGAAAGCAATTTTAGACATAACAACTTGGATGCGAGATATGAAACCGAAAATCACTACCATAGAATAGTGCTTTTAAAATCATTAACAAAGAAGCCCGAATTATCATAGAAGCACCTTTTCAGACATCTACAAGGAGGATAACTGAGATAGATTGGAAAAATCTACTTGGTAAGACAGTCATTCGAGATGTTGCATAGAAGCATACAAGAAGAAGCACAGTAAAAGCTGCAAAAGTCACCCTCCAAGCACTTTTGTGGTAGGCTAGGATTTTTAAAGTTGAGAACATTGGGTTTAAAGTTATTGAAGGTCTGAGCATCTTCTAAACTAGGATTGAAAGTTTTAGTTTCCTGGGGCACTTGCAAACTACAAATTAGAATGGCAGAAATCTAGTTTGGTGTTTAAGAACTCTTGAATGGTTTAAGTTGATGGAAATGGCTAGGTAATTGTATTGGTGGTTACAGTTTGAAATGGTTAAAGAATGGACAAATTTGAAGTTGAATAAACAAAGGAAGGAGAAGGGAAGAAATTTATCCTAAGGTACAGTGACACCACCATTTAGAAATCATGATCCCATTTAATAGAAGAAAAAGCACGACTAGGGTTTATGTCAAACAGTTGATTATTGTCTGGAAAAATTACAGATGTGTTGTAACTCAGAGGACTGATAAAAAAGGTAATGCATGAACATTACAGCAGATTTCAACTGAAGCACAACAAAATGTGAGAGATTCAAAGGTAAGAAGTCTTACCATACGCTGGAGGATTGGCAATGATGGCATCTGCCTTAAAAGGGATGCCTGAATCAATATCAGCGTCCCTGCAGGCAGAAGGCAAGGAGTGTATAATTTCTTTTATTTGATTTCGTTGAATGGGTATCTCAGAAGGCCCTGATGGCAAGAAGCCTTTATTTTTTACCATGTCTGTCATTAAAGCCAAAACAAACAGTGAAAGTTATTGAAGGAACTTATAATCTGAATCTGAAAATATGCAGTAAAGCATAAAATCTAGTAAATCAGACTCACATATCAACAAAGTAATATTTTGGAGAATTAGTCTCAAATATATTTGAAGATATTAGATATTTGCAACAGAAACTTGTACTCAAAGCAACTTACTGCAGCTAGAAAGCTTTCTTGTAAAAACATTAAATATTTCAGATAAAACTCCAAGATTCTCCAGTCAAACTTTTGCAATAAAAATAAAAAAATAAAAATAAAATTGTTTATGCACACTCTTTGTCACACATACAGAAGCAAATACAAATACAACAGCATGCAATATCTGTTGCCATTCATACTTGGGTTACTACTATTGTTTTAGTATAACTTAAACTTTTTGTCCATGCTGAGTAATCCACATTTAGAATTTTAGAAATTTGGCAAAGGATTACACAAACTCTGCTTTGTTATAATGAATCAATGCATATTTGCGCCAAGAGAACCATTCAAGGCTGCAGCATGAATAATGCAAACCATTTCCAAGAATTCTTTCAGTGACATAAAAGATATGGAATCATTTCAAAAGACTAAGGCATAAAGATTGAGGAACAAAATAAGGGCCCAATAAGCTAAAAGTGGCATTTCTAGAAACATACAACCAGCAAGAACTTTAGGATCTCCGCCTAAAGGAAAAAACTCCAACCCGGCTGTCAAGACAAATTCTTTGAAATTTGAATGAGTTGCTAGTCTAACACGATGGCCATAATCCTGCACAAAAAGTCCTTGTAAACGAACCGATATGTGCAAATGATTAAGTACTAAAAATACAATAGTAGATGACAATCCAACCTTATATTTACTTACTCTTTCATCATAAGCAATCACAGCGATAGCAAAGAAAATGTTACTTTAGATTTTCTTTATTTACATAACAAAGTAAGAAGCAAGCTTTTTCAGACCAATACTTAAGAAAGCACACGATCAGCCTTGTAAATAAATAAAATCATTAGAGAGGTAAGCCAGAAAAGATGGGGAATGATCAAATGCAGCTACAAAGTGATCAATGGCTAAATTATCCCATGCTTCATAATTTATTTAACGCTTATGTGGAATAATTAACAAACATATTACACATTATTAAAATTGAAGATCAAAAGTTTAAACAACTGTTCATGAATAGAGCTCAATTGAAAAGCTGAAAATAGGCATTGCCAACCAACCTGTAGACGTTTACCAATTGCAATAAATGGCTGCACATCTCCTCGTGTGCCAACAATAAGCATTACTATTTGCAGTGGTGGTATATATTGAAGGTCTGTTGCATCAACAGGCTCATCATCCGCAACTGTATTATATACATCATCAGATCCAACACCAAGAGTTTGGGGTTCAACATCCCCTGGAACCTCAAATTCTACAGTTCCATCATCTTTGACAGTAGCTATTCTGTTCAACAATTTAAGCTGCATATTTAAAAATCAAAAATAAAATAAAAAAACTAAGCATGGTTCTATCATCTTCCACAACCTAAAAACGCCACAATTTTAGAAAATAAAAAACCTAATCAACTAGCACAATTCATCAAAATTTAACTTATGAGAAAGAAAGTTAACTAACGTTGTATCCACATCTAGCAACAGTAACAGATAAAGTTTAAATTCGGTGCCTAAAGCTTGCTAGATATACTACTGGTAGTAAAATAGTCATCATAATTAGGAAATTGAAGGCCTTAACCGACAAAGGGAACGAAACCAGACAAGAATATTAGCTGAAGATTAATACCTTCTGCTGAACAGGAATCTTGTCATCGAAAAACTTTGCAGCCTCTTCAGGAAGTATATTTTGATGTCTTTGCCCCTCAGTTTTGGATCTTTCTAACTTAAGCTGAATCGGTATTGGTTCTGATTTGTTAGCACCAGGCATTTCAACCCTTGAAGTGTTTGATTCCAATTCAGTCCCAACGCTGATTCCTAAACAAAGAAACCTATAAGCCCATAAAACCAAGAATTTGAAGCAAACACAAAAACAAACAAACTGTCAATTTAAATTCCTCATCCCTATGCTCAACAATCTTAACAGAATCTACTAATTAGAAACGAACAGCAGAATTCTGTTTTTGACGGCCAAAATAAACCGAATTCAATTCAACAACCTGAAAAGTTACCGTTACTAACTGAAGCAACATCAACTGCCTCTCTGCTCTCCAATTCATTACCATCACCGCTAGTTCCAACATCAACGCCGATTTCCCCTTCGATTCTCACCGAAATTTCGCCGGAACTCGACGAAGACGAAGAAGAAGACGAGCTCCGTCGCCTCGACTCCGCCATCGCAGGAAGCGACTCCGGCGTGCTCTGCTTGTTCTGATCCAGATCTGACGGTACTTTCTAAAGAGAATAAAGCGAGTATTTAATGCGTGAGAGCGTGTTTGGATTCCGAAAAAGTAGCAGATTTGGAGGGATTTTTTTTTTCCCCTTCTTGTTTTTTCTTTTGAGTTGTGAGGAATCAAAGGATGCGAGAGAGAAAGGGAGGAGGCACGTTCGATGGAGTGGGTGACGGGTCGGAGAGAGATTACAGTGTGGAAACACGTATGCATTTTAAATTGCCGGCACTTTTTTTTTTTCAATCGCTGTCAACTAAGGTTCTGTTATTTGTCTTAACTCGCTGATGTTTTCTATGTTGGGGGGCCCAATCCTATTTCCGTCCAGCCTGCATTATTTTTTAATATTTAATAACCAAATGATTCTCTTATTTAAAAGAATCATTTCAAAAACAAAAAGAAAATATTCTTTTATTTCCATTTTCTCTCACCTCACTAATAAATCATAGTACTTGCTAGACTCGAGTCGGCCTGACCTGGTGAGTCAACTAGGTGAATGGATCGTTCCTAGGGTTGTGTCAGTTATTATAGATGTACTACTAGTTGCATCAGTAATATGTTGGTTTAAGTTTACTTAGAAAGGGACCCATGTGTGGGTTTGAACTCACTTCTGCTAAATCTTTTTTGAAATTTCGCAAATGTACATGTAGCATGATGGCTAAATGCCTTTTTTTTATTTTTTATTTTTTTCTTTTTTGTAGTTAAGGGTGAGTTTGAGCGCTACTTGCAACTTCACCTTCTTTTTTTTTTTTTTCCATTTTAAGTCGATGCATGTTTTTTTTTTTTTTTTTGTTAGTTTTGACCTAGTCGAGTTTTAAAGAGTTCAATCATGTTTGATAGGATCTATGATCAAATTACAATCTCAACCCAATTTAGATTTTGAATTTATGGGTTATCAAATCAATTCTTTAGGTGAAGCAGAATTTTAAGACTATGTCACCAACAAGAATCTCTCAAACTCATCTTAACTTGTTGAGCCTTTCATTTTATTTTTGCCCTTTAACTACATCGTTAAGCCCAAGAAAAAAAAATTGTTATGAAATTAGAAATTTTAATATTACATCGCAACAATTATCAACCTATTATTATTATTTTTTTAATATGACAAAAAAGAATACTCTTTTTGTTAGAATAATTATCATATAAAACAAATATAAGAAACCAAAACATTTTAATGGTGAGAATAAGTCATCCATCTTAAAACTTTAGTCTTTTAAATGGAATCCACACTCAAATATGTGTAACCAATATGAAATTCTTGTGGTTATTTACTTTGACCTTCCCGAAGAACCAATATTCGAAGACATAACATGCCACATACTTTCATATATAAAGATTATTTGTCTATCCTTCAACAGTTCTATTTTATGCACATATTGTCTATAGTAATGTTGTTGATATATAACACTTGGTTTTCTAATCCACTTTTGAAAGAATCTCCACTTCTACAATAGTGAAAACTTATTGCAATGTTGATGTTACATAACACCATCTCATTAATCCATGTTTGAAAAACCATCGCATTTACGATTGTAAAAATTTTGACTTTAGGCAATCATTTTTATGTTTTAGATGAATGACAAAGAAAACATAGAAAAGAAAAGGATCTATGTAACTCAAACAATGAACAATAAAAAAGTCATTTGTAAAGCTATATAAACATGTTTTTTATGATGCAACTTATTCGCAACGAACTAAACATATCTTGCACTACACAACTAGCACCAAAAGACTTAAATACATCTTCTAACATTCAAATTCATTAAGAAAAAAATAGTATAATGTTTTTAGTTTCCAAATCTTACCCCATCATAGAGTAGTGTATATGTAACATCCATTGTCCAATAGAAAATCGAGAATGCTATTGCACTATCTCGCACTCGAAAGTGCAATGCAATGCACTATGTCCTCTATCCTAGATCTCTATCACATTTAACGAGTAGAATTTCTTATTTGGTTTAAAGTTCAAGGCTTCCTAAATTTGAAATTTAAAGCTAAAAATTTTTTTGCAACCTAAACCATTTATAAACATCCTATACGATTTCATTTTCATCCTTGGATTAAAACTAACAAATGCATAATTCAAGCATAATCTATTAACAAACCTCAATTCATTCATAAAAATTTCATCTATCTTTAATCTTATATACATTAACATATCCAAATTAAAAAAAGTTATTATTTATAATGTAAAATGGTCGAATCTAGGCATTCACCAAAAGTGGGCGAAACCTAGAATGGTTTAGTCTTCAAACTTTAAACTTAGACTCGTATTACACGATTTGGAAAATTTTGTAGCTCATGACTAGTATCCTTAACACATTTACATGTCCTTAATTATTGCTTTATTCATCTACACCATAAGACAAAAAAGCGAGCTAGAGCTCGGTAAATGTAACCATGCATGAATGTAAATAAATTCATTATCTATGATTCCGAAATACATTTTCTATCATCCTCATGAAGAGTTTACAACAGATTTATTTTTTATTTATTTATTTATTTATTTTTTTTGTGAATCATCACATTAAGAATATATACTAGATCACTCCCTTTATATACTAAGAGTATTCATAAGATCATTCCCTTAATATGTCCTCCTTTAAAACTTACAAAAAGAATCTACTAGATCATTGCTTTTGTATGCTTTGCAAAGAGTATACACCATATTATTTTCTTCATAAACCTATCTTGAAAATATGAACATGACTTCTTTTTTTTTTTTTGAATGCTTGAAAGCATGCTCACACTTTTTCATGACATGAATGTAATTAGAATGTTTATCAAGCATCTACATGAACATAAACTATATGGTATTAAGTCATTTATGAACATAATTAACATGACATGACTAGGTTGAATCATCAAACCTCAAAACAACATGAACACATCCTAATAACATCAAGTCATCCATGAACATAGTACAAAAATAACACACAGTCGAATAATAGCATGCCTAAACCAACATTGAACACAATCCAAGTGTAATAACCTAGGTGCTCGCTAAAACTAGAAATTTAATTAAAAATTAAATATTTAATACATGTGAAAAATATTTTAAAGGTGTGAAATAACCCCTAATGACTTAAAAGAATATTTAGAATAGTTAAAATAGTTTTTCCTTGCTTAAGGAATATTTTATTGATTTTATGGTACATAAATGGTAGTTTTTGCATGAAATAATTATTTAAAACATGTTGTATGTGCATGAAAAATATTTTGTTTGCTTAGAATATTTTTTGGAGGGGTGTTGAATTATTTTATGTGATTATATGAATTTTATTGTATGTTGTGAATATTTGATTTGAATTGTTATGCATAGGAATAGTATTTTAGAGGTAGAATAATTAAATTAGGTACTTTAAAAGAATGTGGAATTTTTTAAAAAAGAATGAAGAATTTTTTTTTTAAGAGGGTAGAAAAATCATGTAGGATGTGTAGGAGTACCTATTAAATTTAAATTAATTTGATCAAGTATAAGGAATATTTTTCATATGAAATAGTGTAATTTTTACACTAAATACTTAATTTGGAGGCCTAAATGAAATTATAAAATTATGAAAATTTATATTAAATTATTTTAATAAGTATTTGAATTTATTTTGAAAATAAATTGGATTTTTGAAATGTATAGAATAAAAGTTTAGAATAAGGGGTCTAATTGCATAAAAATAGGGATTCAATTGCATAAAATCAAAAGTCTAAATTCTCAAATTAAATTATGTAGAAATTTTAAGGGCCAAGGGGAGGATTAAAGGTGATTATGTGAATAAAATAAGGGTTTGGGAAAGAATAGGCCACATAAACCTTTAGCGATTTGAGGGACCAAAATTAATTATTTTTCCACCAAAATTTGCCAACTTGGTGCCACAAATGAGTCCGACTTCCAAGTAAAAGTTATGGCCAAAATCAAGCAAGATGAAAGCCTTAAATAAAAAGAGGGATAAATGGCCAAATCAAAATAAATAATTAAAAATTAAATTAAGATATTCACTCAAATCAAGGGTGGAGATCAAATCAATAAGTCTACAAAATATTCCTATAAATAGTGTTGTTGAAAAAATTAAAAATGTAAAGAAAATAGAAAAACATAAGAGAGACTCTTGCAAAAATTCCATCTAAAATTCACCCAAAACACTTCTAACAAATTTTAAACCCTCCAAATCAGTAGATTAAACTTCAAATTCATGTGAGGGTCAAAGATTTTGAAGGAGAAAATTCAAGGAATTAATTCAAGTCTAGGAGCAAAAGATGGAGAAAGGAAATTTTCAAACAACCTAGTCTTATAAGGTTGAATTAGAGCCCAATTAAGTAAGTTAACTTCACCTACACCACAAGAAATTTCAATATCATGCCAATTTGAAGTTTAATTGCTTTAATTTTGAATTAATTGCATTAAATGTCAAAAATTAGGGTTAGGGTTCTTGATGACCAAAATTTGAGAGAAATGAAATTGAACCTATAATTCATGAAATTGAGGTTGAATCATGTTAATTGGGCTTCAAATTGAAGTATAAAACTCAAAAACTCCTAGGGTTCCTTTAGGGTACCATTCAGCCCAAATACATAATTTGGGGGGTTTTTAATTCATTCATGTAATTGATGTTCTAGCACTTGAACATGACTTAATTAGGTTTGAATTAGTGTTTAGGAATGAAAATTTTCATTTTGATTAAAGAAAAATTCACAAAATACCAAGGGGTACATCCGACCTAATTTGGCATTTTTAGGATTTGAGTTTGATGCACTTAGTTTATTATTCCTTGATTAATTTGCACTTGAATAAGCATGTCTTGATGTATGAAAATGAAAAATTTGGAAAAAGTTGAAGAAAATGGCTTGAATTTTTTAAGGCTCAATTCGAGTTTGAACATGAATTTATACCTTGAATGTGAATTAAATTATTTTTTTTGGTTAATGTGTATGTAGGCTACTCGGACATTAAAATTA